CCCCAAGTCAGCTTCTGCTGAAACTGACCAGCGCTGACTACAGGAAGCCCGAGGCAGAGTTGCTCTGCCCCGGGCTTCCTGGAATCAGCTGCTGATCAGTTTCAGCAGCAGCTGACTTGGGGATGCCTGGGGTTCTTCAGTTGATTCTGTATGTAAGTCAGAACTGTTGGTCTGTTTCAGCAGCGGCTGAATCTGGACGCCAGTTCCGACTTACATACAGATTCAACTTAAGAACAAACCTACAGTTCCTATCTTGTACGTAACCCGGGGATTGCCTGTAGTCTGTAATGTCTTTTATAGATGGAGAAGAAATGGATATTGGCTGGTATGTTGAATTAATCCAGGCCTTATCTTATTTAGATCCTCTGGTGGAAGAACACCCATCTCATCAGCAGGTCATCTTGCTTCTTGGAGAAGATGGACCTAATCCATTAACATTCATCCTAAATGCAAACCTCCTTGTGAATGTCAAGTTAGTATCTTGTAAGTAGGCAGTATACATTCTTTCCCTTTATTTATGTATGTTCTGTGGTTCATTGTTTGAAATGTGAAAACACTGAATTTACTTATCTGGGTGATGAGCAGATGTTCATACATTCTCACAGTTGAGAGATGTGCTTCCTTATTTTATCCCATCTGTAAATTTTAAGGTTTTTAAAGTAACTTATCCAATGTGCTTCCAAGAATCTTTAAACCCCTTTTGTAATTCATGTGCCTACTTGGTTGTCATATCCTTTGTAGAATAAACCCTGGGCTATATTCACCATAACAATATCTTTCATAGGAAAGGAATAAAAATTCTTTTCTATATGAATGCTTTCCCGATAAATGTGTTCTGTATTTTGTATGCACTTTGTACACAGCTTGAATACTTATTTATGTAAGGTGCTGTCTAACTGGGATTCTTTTATCTCTAGGTTTTAATAAAGCTCAGGAGACCTTGCTGTGTAAATTAATGAAAGGATACTTCTGTTCCTATTACAGCAATTTCAGATTTGAGGGTTGTGATTGATACTCAAATGAACGTTAGCTTTTATTAGGACTGTCTATAGTGTATGTGTTTGGGGGTTTCTTGCTGTGTGCTGAGCTTGTGTTTGGCTGTTTGGTTTTTTTTTCCCCTTTTACTTCCCCCCACACATCCCACCCCCACAGAGCGTGTACTGTGGCTGACAGGTGGAAGCTGTGAGCTTCTAATCAGGGTTTGAAATCTAGAAGCCTCTGCTCCTTGGTTGAGCCTTAGCCCCTCCCCCTGATTATCAGGAAGTCCAGGGCGTTATAAAGGAGTGAGTCAGAGACCAGGGAGCTTGCGAACAGGGACTGCAAACAGCGAGTTTTGAGAGAGAGTTGAGAAGGGGACGAGGTACACTCACTGTTCTTGAAAATCTTTTCACTACACTCCTGCCCTTCAAGGAGGCATTTAATAACATCTGAGGAATCTCTCAGAAGGAATGCAGATATTAATAGTGATAGGTAACAACAGCAGACATGCAAAGCATGTGCCATGTTTGTCTTCCTCCTGGAAGAAAGAAGGGATTTCGTAGTAAATGCAAGCTGGTCACCATTTTGGAAAAAAAAATTAGAGGACTTGAGGTCCAAGTATTGATCCTACGTTCCATCAGAGAGGATGAAGACTTGCTCAATAGTTGGCAGTGTTTAATCCTGCAGGCACAGCAGACTGAAGAGCCAGTGAGGGCAGTGAAGGACAAGGAAGAAAACTGGCAGCATGTAATCTTTAGAAGAAGGAGGCAGCCAACTCAGGTATCCCCCATTGCTGTAGAGGTAAGTAACCGCTTTCAAGCTCTCTCAATAGGCACTGCGGTAGAGAAGGCTTTGGTAGGGATCTCTCAGGGAAGAAATCCGAAGATAACACCATCTAGCAGAAGGCACGGGATGCATAGTCCTAGCGATGGGGGTTCCATGACCACCACCCCCAAAAGGAAGATGATGGGTGGTAGTGGTTGGGGACTCCCTCCTAAGACGCACGGAGTCATCCATCTGCTGTCCAGACCTGGAATCTCAAGAAGTGTGCTGCCTACCAGGAGCTCGCATTTAGGATGTGACCAAAAGTTCCCAAACTGATCAAACCTTCGGATCGCTACTTCTTCCTGCTTCTCCATGTCAGAACTAACTATACGGCCAAGAATAACCTTGAGCAGGTCACAGCAGATTATGTAGTGCTGGGAAGAAGGATCAAAGCATTTGAAGCGCAAGTAGCGTTCTCGTCTGTCCTCCCTGTTGAAGGAAAAGGTCTGGGTATGGATCGTCAAATTGAGGAAGTAAATGCGTGGATGCGCAGGTGATGTCAGAGAGAGGACTTTGGTTTCTTCAACCATGGGACTCTGTTCCGGGCACAACGATTGTTAGGAAGAGATGGGATCCACCTAACCAAGAGAGGAAAGAGCATTTTCGCGGACAGGCTTGCAAACCTAGTGAGGAGGGCTTAAACAAGATTTATTGGGGGATGGTGACCAAAACCCTGAAGTAAGTGGGGAAGTTGGATACCGGGAAGAAACATGAGAAGGAATGAGCAACAAGGGAGGACCTCGATTCGGATGGAGATGGTAGGGCCATCAACTGGTTATCTAAGGTGTTTGTACACAAATGCCAGAAGCTTGGGAAACAGGAAGAATTAGAAGTCCTGTCAAAGAACTGTGATTGGAATAACAGAGACTTGGTGGGATGACTCGCAAGACTGGAGCACTGTCATGGAAGGATATAAACTGTTCAGGAAGAACAGGCGAAGGAGACAAGGAGGAGGAGTTGCGTTGTACATAAGAGAGCAGTATGATTGCTCAGAGCTCCAGTATATAGAGGGAGAAAAGACTTGGGTTAAGTCTAGAGTGTATGGGTTAAGTCTAGAGGTGGAAGCAACAGGGGTGATGTTGTAGTTGGTGTCTGCTATAGACCACCAGATCAGGTGGATGAAGTAGACGAGGCTTTCTTCGGACAACTGAGAGAAGCTTCCAGATCACAGGCCCTGGTTTTCATGGGGTCCTTTAATCACCCTGACATCCATTGAGACACCAGTACAGCAGTACACAGACAATCCAGGAAGATTTTGGAGAATGTGGGGGATGATAACTTCTTGCTACAAGTGCTGAAGAAACCAACCAGGGGCCGTGCGCAGCTTGACCTGCTGCTCACAAATAGGGAGGAACTAATAGGGGAAGTAGAGGTGGGTGACAGCCTGGGAAGCAGTGATCATGAGATGCTAGATTTCAGGATCCTGACCAAAGGAAGAAAGGAGGGTAGTAAAATACACACCTTGGACTTCAGAAAAGCAGACTTTGACTCCCTCAGAGAACTGATGGGCAAGATTCCCTGGGATGCTAACATGAAGGGGAAAGGAGGCCAGGAGAGCTGGCAGTATTTTAAAGAAGCCTTATTAAAGGCACAGGAACAAATGATACTGATATGCAGCAAGAAAAGCAAATATGGTAGGTGACCTGATTGGCTTATCAGGGAAATTCTTGGTGAGCTTAAACACAAAAAGGAAGCTTATAAGAAGAGGAAAATGGGACAGATGTCTAGGGAGGAGTATAAATATATTGCTCGAGAATGCAGGGGAGTAAACAGGAAGGTGAAAGCACAATTGGAATTGCAGCTAGCAAGGGATGTGAAGGGTAACAGGACAGGTTTCCACAGGCATGTTAGCAATAAGAGGGTGATGAGAGAGGGTTTGGGGCCCTTACTGGATGAGGGAGGTAATCTAGTGACAGATGATGTAGGAAAAGTTCAAGTACTCGATGTTTTCTTTGCCTCTGTCTTCACAGACAAGGTCAGCTCCCAGACAAATGCTCTAGGCAACGCAGTATGGGAAAAGAGGTGGACAGCTTTTGGTGGGGAAAGAACACGTTAGGAACTATTTAGTAAAGCTAAACATACACAAATCCATGAGCCCGGATTTAATGCATCCAAGGATACTGAGGGAGTTGGCAAATGTCATTGCAGAGACTTTGGTCATTATCTTCAAAAACTCGTCGAGATCGAGAGAGATCCCGGATGATTGGAAAAACACCAAATGGTAGTGCCCATCTTTAAAAAAGGGAAGAAGGATGGATCCAGGGAACTACAGACCAGTCAGCCTTACCTAAGTCCCCAGAAAAATGATGGGGGGGATCCTCAAGGAGTCCATTTTGAAGCACTTGGAAGAGGGGAAACTGATCAGGAATAGTCAACATGGATTCATGAAGGGCAAGTCGTGCCTGACCAATCTGATTAGCTTCTGTGATGAGGTAACTGGCTCTGTGATATGGGAAAGTCAGTGGATGTGATATACCTTGACTTTAGCAAAGCTTTTAATACGATCTCCCACAATATTCTTGCCAGCAAGTTAAGGGAATATGGATTGGATAAATGAACTGTAAAATGGATAGAACGCTGGCTAGACTGTCGGGCCTAACAGGTAGTGATCAATGGCTCAATCTCAGGTTGGCGGTCGGTTTCTAGTGGAGTGCCCCAAGGATCTTTCCTTGGACCGGTTTTGTTCAACATCTTTATTAATGACCTGGATGAGAGGATGGATTGCACCCTCAGCAAGTTCGCAGATGACACTAAGCTAGGGGGAGAGATAGATATGCTGGAGGGCAGGGAGAGGGTCCAGAGTGACCTGGACAGATTAGAGGATTGGGACAAAAGAAATCTGATGAGGTTCAACAAGGACAAGTGTAGAGTCCTGCACTTGGGACGGAAGAATCCCAAGCATAGTTACAAGCTGGGGACCAACTGGTTAAGTAGCAGTTCTGCAGAAAAGGACCTGGGGATTACAGTGGATGAGAAGCTGAATATGAGTCAACAGTCTGCGCTTGTAGCCAAGAAGGCTAATGGCATATTAGGGTACATTAGGAGGAGCATTGCCAGCAGATCCAGAGAAGTGATTATTCCCCTTTATTCAGCTTTGGTGAGGCCGCATCTACAATATTGTGTCCAGTTCTGGGCCCTCCACTACAGAAAGAATGACGACGCATTGGAGAGGGTCCAGCGGAGGTTGACCAAAATGATTAGGGGGCTGGAGCGCATGACAGATGAGGAAAGACTGAGGGATTTGGATTTGTTTAGTTTGCAAAAGAGAAGAGTCAGGGGGGATTTGATAGCAGCCTTCAACTTCCTGAACGGAGGTTCCAAAGAGGATGGAGAAAGGCTGTTCACTGTCGTGATGGATGGCAGAACAAGGAGTAGTGGTCTCAAGTTACAGTGGGAGAGGTCTAGGTTGGATATTAGGAAAAACTATTTCACTAGGAGGCTGGAGAAGTACTGGAATGGGTTTCCTAGGGAGGTGCTGGAATCTCCATCCCTAGAGGTTTTTAAGTCTCGGCTTGACAAAGCACTGGCTGGGTTGATTTGGTTGGGACTAGCTGGAGTTACCTGGCGTTGCTCGGGCCTACTCCCCACAAGCCAGTTTGCTTCCCCCCCTCCCCT